TAACAAGGAAGGAGTGAAGCTAAAACAAAGAAAATGAATGACTGCAATTCTTTGAAATCAACAAGGATTTCAACTTGCTACATGTATACCCAACATTCCTAGCAATGCTTAGAAATAATTCTTTGAAGACTTAGATCACCATGAAGACTAGCAGCTTGAACTTTCAAACAGTTCACAAATGTGAAATCCTACATCAGATAAAAGAAGCTCCTACCCATCTTCTGTCACAGAAAAGGCATGGTTAAAAAGTTGGACTCAAAGATTTGTGGAAATGGGAGGGCACCCAATTTGCAAGCAAGCAGGGTGTGTGTGTGTGTAGACTGCAGAAGTGGCAAAATCTAAAACAGGAAAAGGGTGAACAAAACCCCACACAAGAATAGCATGCATTTTCATTCTCATACTTCTGATTTTGCTTTAAAATTCCAAAGTAAGAGCTTAATGAAACTCCTATGGGGTCTTTTTAAAGTCTACATTTGCAATTCTATGCACACTTACCTGGGAGTGAGTCCCACTGAATTCAGTGAGATTTTCTTCTGGGTAGACCTATACAATATTATTCTTTACATTAATTTACAACCATGCCATTTCTAAATGACCGCCAGCTAAAGCTCCAAACGCCAAGAATATTTAACTTCTGACCCTCAGCTGATCATCGTATAGATAAATCATTAGTTGTTAGGAAGCCTAACTTTACCTTCATGAAACAAAATTTTCAAAGTCATGCCAGGGTAGGTTACGGCAAGGATTCAGACTTGATTTGTCCCACAAGAGCTATAGAAAGGAAGATAAAAAGTCATGCCTTAAAATCTTCATTTACATGCATTTGTTTTGATAGATCAAAAATATTTTCTATCCTATCGTAGTGTCAGGATTTTAACATAGATTTTAACTGTCCATTCTATTGACTTTTACCTTTTCACATTAATTTATAAAGAACACCTATGCATCTGCCATAGACCTACTACTGATATGCCAATAATTCTGAAGAGAACTGTAGAGTGCACTTAGTTCATACAGCGTCCTGGCCAGGTCCGCTGTAAATTATACCACATAAAAGAAAAATGCATTTAAGAGCGTGCCAAACGCTCCCCCCTATGGCTGCACAATGCAGAGAGGGAAAACAGCCTTTGAGGAAGGCTTAGTCACCATTACTATCATTCTGTAACAAATCTGTTAGTTTTTAAGGCACTACAAGACACGTCGTTGTTTTGTTACAATAGACTATATATAGCTACCCTTCCACAACTTATTGGTGAGGCATCCCCCCAAAAGCTCCTCAGAAACTCTAGGGATTACACTTCTGTCTTTGAAATGAACCGTACATCCTTACTGTACTTCTGATCATTATGTGCTGCTTCCATGCAGTGTGTGTTCTTAAGTCACAACCATGATCTGCTTTTAGCAGTTGTGTTACAAAGATGGGAGACACAAACTTTATTAGGAACATATTGGACCGGTCAGATATGATGCCCCCACCCCATATCTTTCTTCAAAAGTTGCTGCTTCTTTTTATTTGGTGATGAAGCAGTTTGGCTGTTTTCCATGAACTGGGTACCATCCTGTGGTACTTTTGATGACAGGCAACGTTGATCTCGTGTGTGTGGTTTTGCTTTTTTAAAAAAAAAGAAGAAGAAAACTAACAGCCAATCTCTTTGCCCTCAGGGTGGATCGAGGATGTCTTCGGCTCAAGAGCAGTGACAACAACGTAACGAAGTTCTCCCCCCTGGAAACCCTGGGCACACCTGAAATCCACAGCTCACCTGAAACTTCGCAGCATCGCCCGGCCTGACCCCCGCCCCCCCCCCGAAAGAGCAACCCGAAGCCGGAGTGAAAACTTCCCGAGAGTCGGAAAGGGCCGAGGCAGGGCCTCCGCTCCCTCTCGGCGAGGGTCCGCTCGGCTGAAAGGGGAAGGAGACCCCGCGGCGAGAGGCCAAGGCAAGAGAAGGGGCCTCAGGGTCTCTTGAGGCTCGGCGGCATTCGTCCCTTGGGGAACTCTCGAACCCCGAGCCGGAGCGAAGGCCACGCCAGGTGTGTCAAACCCCCCCCCCCACTACTCCAATCTCCCAGCCACTCACCCTCACTCCGACCTCCTCTGGTCCAAACAAAGCGCAGCCCCTTCCGCCGTGACGCCCCTCCTGCCGCCGCCACCGGAAGTACTCTATGGTTCTTCCTCCGCGCGGGGCTGCTAAGGAAGGGATGCGGGCAGCGGCGGTTGCCGTGGCAACGGGACTCCCTTTTCTCATTCTCTCCCGTCCCCCTGCATGTATCGGAGGGGACGAGGCGCTTTATACCCGCCCCCACAACACACACACGTTTTACGCTGCTGGGCTTTGTAACGAAACGTGGCGTGCGATACAGTCACGCTGCCATAACCTCACCATGGAGCCTTTTCCGATAGGATTTCTCGCCGCTACCCCGCAACTATTACATGGCCCCCTGTTATTGTGCCCGCTGCTTATAGTCAGGGGGTCTCCCGGAGCCCGGCCTTTCATACGGGCCAGCTTTTAACCTATGAAGCGTTTTTTCAACTGTTCCTATTTCCAAGAGACCAAATCGTGTAACCAAGAGATAAGTCGTTTTGGGGAAATTTTCAATTGGCACAATTTAGTTATGGTAAAAACGTAACTCTTGCATGCGCCAGCCCAGCCCTCTGAGAACGGGTTTCTACACAACCATTGCCCTTTCCCAACTCTCAGCACTTTCTAGTCTAGGTCATACAAGGAATCGACTTGTTCTGCGGCTTGTATACTAAAATTAGGGGTTACTGAACTGGTTGGTAGAGATGGTCTGCAAACTTTTAGGCAATATGCAGTGCGTAAAAATACAATTAAGAATTAAGGCAAAAGACCCCTGGACATCAAAGTCCAGTCAAAGGAGACAAAGGGGTGCAGCGCTTATCTCTTTTCAGGCCGAGGGAGCAGTGTTTGTCCGCAGACAGATTTCCGGGCCATGTGGCCAGCATAATAAACCGCTTCTATCACAATGGGACACTGTGACAGAAGCCAGAGCACACTGAAACACCATTTACCTTTCCTCCGCAACAGTACCCATTTACCTACTTGCACTGGTGTGCTTTTGAACTGCTAGGTTGGCAGAAGCTGGGAAGGAACGATGGAAGCTTGTTGTTGTTGTTGTTTAGTCGTTTAGTCGTGTCCGACTCTTCGTGACCCCATGGACCAGAGCACGCCAGGCACTCCTGTCTTCCACTGCCTCCCGCAGTTTGGTCAGGCTCATGTTTGTAGCTTCGAGAACACTATCCAACCATCTCATCCTCTGTCGTCCCCTTCTCCTAGTGCCCTCCATCTTTCCCAACATCAGGGTCTTTTCCAGGGAGTCTTCTCTTCTCATGAGGTGGCCAAAGTATTGGAGCCTCAACTTCACGATCTGTCCTTCCAGTGAGCACTCAGGTCTGATTTCCTTAAGAATGGATGCGTTTGATCTTCTTGCAGTCCATGGGACTCTCAAGAGTCTCCTCCAGCACCATAATTCAAAAGCATCAATTCTTCGGCGATCAGCCTTCTTTATGGAAGCTTACCCCGTTGCAAATTCGAACTGCTGACCTTCCAATCGGCAAGCCTAAGAGGCTCTGTGATTTAAGACCACAGTACCTCAAGAATGTGGGTTAAACCACAGAGCGTAGGACTTGCCGATCAGGTTGGCGGTTTGAACCCCCACAACGGGGTGAGCTCCCATTGCTTGGTCTACTTGCTTTTCAAAGAGCAAGTAGATAAATAGGTACCGCTCCTGCAGGAAGGTAAACGGCGCTTCCATGCGGTGCTCTGGTTTGCCAGAAGTGGTCATGCTGGCCACATGACCCAGAAGCTGTCTGTGGACAAACATTGGCGAGTAAAGCGAGATGAGCGCCGCAACCCCCGAGTCATACACGACTGGGACTTAATGGTCAGGGGTCCCTTTACCTCAAGTATCATAAAGCATCTAATAAAGCACAGCAGCCACAAGAGGCAGAAAAATAATCAGGTGACCCACTCAGCAATTTACAAGTGGTCTGTGATGTTTATCCACTGTGCTGCGTAACTTGATAAAGGTTCTCAAACTGTAGAAGCTAGTCTAGATCTTGAGTGTACAGTACTGTACTGCTCTCGTACAAGAGCGGAAACTATCCTGCCTGGGTGCCTAACCTACAAATCTAGAAGTCTGTCAAGCATTTCCCTTGTAAGCACTTGTGGACCATGAAGAGTTCTGAATTCAACATGATTGACAATCCATTTGTATTGCTCCTTATACCTTTCTTTTTTATGCAGTCCTTCTTTGCTAGCACCAGATTACTGTTTAAGGAACCTTGGATGGATATAACATCTGCATTAGAACAGAACTGTTATGGGAAGTGAGATGACAGTTGTGTTTTTTGTGATGAAAAAAACAAGCCAGATTCATGTAAATGAACTAAAACTCCAGTCTCATGTTTCCAAAGCAGCCCAACCTAGCTAAAATTAATATGGGTGCTGACAACCCCAATGTATTTTCCAACCACATATTTCACTTCATCTTACACTGGTAGTTACTGTAGGTCAGGGATTCACATTCATGGGCATCATCTTGCTCTCAAAGTAGACCAGTAAGTCTTATCTCTGCCACATCTGAAGATGGCACAATACCTCCTATGAGCTCACAAGCAGAGACACTTGTATGATTCAAAGCTATGCACCTGTTGATTCTGGCCCAAATAAAGGAGCAAAGTAGCTTATGGTGTTGGCCAGGTTAGAAGCAGAGGGTTGTATCAAACTGTTTTACTCAAGAGTAGGGATTAAAACTGGATATAACCCAGATTGCTTTCACTTAAAGAAACCTTTACAAAATATCAGCACCCATTTTAGCCTGAATACAAGAGGACTTAATCCTACCCCACCCATGAAGTGATTTGAGTGCAGTAAGATACGTATGTACTGGATGCTGACACACGCACCCTCCCCAATTTCTCAAAGTTCCCCATAAGCTACCTTTGCATAACTGTTTCAAACCTTTTACTGACAATGTCAACATTTGGTACGGGGAAAAAATGTGCTGAATTCCCCCAAAAAGGAATTTTATTGTATACAAGTCACTACATCAAGCCACAAAGAACAAGATCAGTCCAGAAGAGTAAAGCTCAGGGGCCCACACACCCCTTGAAAGATCACCGCTCTTAAGCTTTAAGTTGGAATCTCCTGAAGATAGGCAAGGAGTCTTCTAGCAACAGCAAATAGAAGGTGTTATCTGGAAATCAGCTTTTCAAGCTCTGCCCCTTCCATGCTCTGGTTCTGCAGCTTCAGTAGCACTGTGAGACATCTACTTGGACCTCTGTCTCATCTTTCTCCTTTTGCGCTTCAGCCTGTAGGGGATAATATTCTTTTGTCAATACTAACGAAACATTCTACCGTAAGGCAATGTAGTGTTTCTAGTCGCATGAAGTGAAAAATTGTTTCTGCAGAGATTCAGTAGGTACCGTTTTTTCCTTTCAGGTTTCTCTTGAAGACTTTTATGCCAACAGGTCTTTGAAGCCACTTAATTTTAGATTAGCCAGCTACTTTAATGATTATCTGTATTCTTCTCAATAGCATTTAAGGCTTCGATGTTGTACCCCACCCTAATACTTTGGGATATGGCAGTACAGAAATACTTGTATAACTAAATAAATGTTTAGTTCACTTTTCCTAAAGTAAGTCATTTCCTCCAATATCCTTCCTACCACACGTTACTTGCAGAATCAAAAGGCAACTGAGAAAAGCAAAACAAGATGCAGTTCAAGCAGCTCTTCTTCCTGCCTCCTATCCACTCCTGTTAAGCAGGTTAGAAAATCAGGTTAAAGAGGGCCACCAATGTGAACCGGGCCCGGCACTAAACAGGCAGCCAACAACTTTCCAGTTGTCAGTAGAAACACTTAATTTCTTTGGCATCACAATTTCATACTCCCAACATGTATGCTACAGGCAGAGCCCAAAGGCATTGGAGAGAATGATTGTGGCAAAGCCTGTAGCTGTCTTGCCCCGTCAACTGAGAACAGATGGCAATAATGCAGGGAGTGGTATTTTTCCACTTTTATTGCAATAAAAGCACCACTACTACCTGCGTTATTGCAACCTGTCCTGATTAGTAGAAGAGCCACCACAGAAGCCTCCCTCTGTACTTTTCTGAGGAGGGGAAGGAGAAGCATTGGCGACTGATCACTAGTGGAGAAGTACTGATACCTACTTTGGGGAGGAGGGCATTGGGGGCGGGAGGAGAGGATCATATAAAAAGAGCAAAAGAATTCACACTTAAGTTCTCAACTGCTTAAGGTATGCAACAGTGAAGGGAAAATGATAGATTACCTACCATCTCAAACAGTAGCTTTTCATCAAAAGTTGAGATCCTGCCCTCAATGAAATTCTCATTTATCACATATGCAATACAATCCTAGGCTTGTTTCATCCAAGCCCCACTGTGCTAAATCGTTTATCTGCTAGGAGGTGTTCCAAAGTACAAAGTGAACGTCTCAGATAACTATACACAATAGTTGTTCCTGTATTTTTGATCCCTAGCGGGTGCAAAGCTTGCTTATGTAGGGAACAAGAACAAATGGAAAGCGCTGAGGAATAAGTGCCTCAAAAACAAAAAAGGGGTTGTGGTCAAAGAGAAGGCTAATTCTGCTTTGGTTAGTATGGATATCATTGCATTCAGGCATGCAGGTATGCAAAGAAATTGCCTCTGTACAGTGGCCTCATGCATTAGTGATTGACCTATGTTCAGCTTATTTTCTGTGCATCCCCAGTGAGGTTCACTTGCTGTCTTACGCTGGTTGAATTTGTGATGAACGTGCTTGAGGGAAGGCCTGTCTCTCTGGATGCAGCATGTGGCAGTCTGTATTCATATTGACTGTATGTTTTCCATTATATTACGGGGCAGTCTTATACTTTGAATTATCACTCAGTTTTCTAAAGCACTGCCTTGCAGAACAGCCACTGCTCCATCACACTGCTAGCATGTCTTCATCCACCTGGGATTTCTATAACCTAGGGTTAGTATAGCTCATCTGCATCTGTCTTGCCTAGATTCTTTGCATCAGTGACTGGTATGGACTTCTGGTTGCACCAATGTAAGAAACCTAGCAACATTAACATTAAGCCTCATTGAGCTCAATGGAATTTATTAAGCAAGCATACTGGGAGTTCACTAAGTCTGCATAGCCAGTAGACCAAATTTGAACTTAGAAACAAGTGGGGTCCTCAGATTTTAATTTTCAACAGCCACTATTTAAAATTTTAGACGCCCATGTTGTTACAACGGTATCACTAAATCAGTCAATGCACTTTCAAGAACTCTAATCAAGAATCTTCAAAAGCAAAGCAAACAAGTGGGTTGCACAGTAAAATAAAAACACATGCTCACATACCTGCGCATTCGCTTCTTTCGCCACTAGAGAAAGGGGAGAGAAAGGAAAGACAAAGTCAGCGTTTTTTATAGCACCAAAACCCAGAAGAGTAACACAAATACACTGGTATTTAAACATATATGAGGTGCAAGATCTCAACTTGTAGTTTTTTTAAAAAAATGGGCCCAGCACCAACAACATTTTATCCATTAGTGTCATTTCCTAAAATTGCTACTCTGGAGCTTGGCAGAGTCTTGATGTCAATTTAAAAATTCAAACAACAGCTCTACAAACCTGGGGCCCAGAAAAAACCATTTGATAGTGCGATCTTGTGCACTGCTTACTTAGGAGAAAGCCCCACCAAGTTCAATGGGACTGACGCCTAAATGCGCATGTACAATAGTCACTAACAAAACTCAGGGCGGCCCTGATAAATGCCTTCATCAAGTATCAGGTTTACAGACTCGCTTCTCATGCAGAATCGCCCCATGACACTCGCTTTACCAGCTATTCCTCCACCCTCTCCAAGCTGCGAGGCCCAACTCTCTATATTCACACGCCATCGCGCACCTAGGCCTCTGCAGGGTTTCCTATCACCGTGCAGGCCCAAAATATCAGGAGGGCCTCGCCTGGCAGAGAAGCACGAGGCGGTCTTGGCAACTCTTCCACTTCCCCGCTCGTCATAATAACCTTCCCCATTTCGCACCCGGCCAACCGAAACAATAGCCCGCCCCATTGCGAAAGACGGCAACGCAGGCCTCGAGCCCAGCTACGTTCACGGGTCAGCTCGCTATCCAAGCCCGAGACCCCACTCACCTTAGCTCTCATGTCGGGGTGGGTCCCCCGGGCTCAGTCCCTGAGAACAGGCAGCAAGGCTGTGGCCGGATGGCGACGGATAGACCTCGCCAGCCACCACAGAGCAGCTCCGGCACAAGATGGCGGTGACGGCAGCAAAGGAAAGGCAGAGGTAGGCGGTCGGTTGCTATTTATACGTCACGCGGCGGGCGGCAGGGGCGCGTCACAAACGGCGGTCTTCGCATTGCATGGTGGGAGTTGTAGTTTGAGCGCGGGAGAGGGGACACATTTCTCTCAGAGTGTAGTCGGCTGCTCCGCCGCCATTTTGGACGTGAATGTAGGAGCCTCAGCCATCCTTCCTAACATCTGGAAATAAGACCCACTAAGTTCACGAAGACTTAACCGGGGCATAGACTGCACTGTTAGCCGGGCAGTCCGGCGGAGGAGCAGTTAATAGCTACAAGCACACCCAACTCTTCGGTGGAATTAAATTCCAAGCGCTGAAACATGCCGTCAAGACCGTCTTTGACCATATGCAGAGAGCATTTGCAAAAAAATTCCCAAACGGAGTCCGCTTGCGCATCTGGGAGACTTCCAAAAGTGTAGTTTTAAGGTGCAGCTCTTCCCTACGGACTGTAGCAATCATGGAACAACACGCCTAGGATTTTAGCAAACGCCCACGGAATAATCATGTTTAAATAAAGGGTCTGATCGTTTGAATTATAGGCATGGGCAGGCTGATCCTAGGCATATTTGTGCCGTAACAAATCCCAGGTAAGGGCATAATAGGATTGCGCCCTTAGCGTATAGGTAAAAAGAAGACTGGGATGCACCTAACAGGTTTTAATTTAAGGTGTTTGGAACTAGAGCAACTGAACCATTGTTAACACTTGGCTGTACCCAAAATACTTGGGAATTGCATATTCACAACACTAGCCTAGGAGCACACACAAGGTGCACACTTACAAGGGAGCACTATCCAATCCTAAGTAGACAAAACTGACCCAGTGCCCACACCACTCAGTCTCTACCCCCCAAATACATTGCACATAGACCAGAATTACACATAAATCTTCCTTGTAAAACAAAAAACCCCAAACCACCACAAAAATACATGAGGGTCAACAACCTGGTGCCCATGGTTTGAAATTATAATTTGGGAGGAAAAACAATTAAGGATAAAGTAATAGGATATGAATTTGCTGAACCAATTTTCAAAAAAGGGATACTAAAAAGGGAGGCGTGAGGAAGTCAGGAAAATAAGTTAATCAAAGATGAGAAATTAAAAAAGAGGGATTTGTGTTTTTCTTTTTTGTGCGCTTATTTTTTTTTTCCTTTTCCCCCCCTTGTTAGGTTAAATGTTTGTATTTTTCTATTGTGTAATTTTGTATTGTTGTGCTTTATATTTTTCTTGTGTTTTTATTGTTCTTTGTTTGTTGTTTTGGAATTTCCCTATTGTTAAAATTTAATAAAATATTATTATAAAAAAACAAAAACAAAACAAAACAACCTGGTGCCCATGGGTTAGGTTGGCAATCCCTCCTAGGATCTGGCTATATGTAAGATGTTATGAAAATGCTATATGCAGGCTTTCCCATGTATAAATTCATTGCCTACAATTGTCATCTGGACTCGCTGTACCTGATATACTAAGGGTGCAATGTGAAGTAAAATGTGACCTGCTTTTTCTATGCTAATGCAAACATATTTAATGAAAATGGGTCCTTGCCTAGCTTTGCAAAGGAAAATAAAAATTGTTACCGATAAGTCAAAGTCAATATCATATACCCCCACCCCACCCCGCAGATTTAAGTCGTCTTCTTTTTTTTTAAAGAACTTGAAATACAATAGGGTGGGGAAGACCACACTCCCGGCTCCTACATAGAAAAATACTACATTTCAGGATTGCAGGCTTATCAAAACCTCAGGTTTACATCTTTGTGAAGTTACATGCACTTTTCAAGTCAAACCTCGTCAAATGAAAACCGTGGATATTTGAAAAGCTTCTGCTGATATTTAGTGACCACTTTATTCCGAGGAGCTTATTGTCTGAGCATTTGCTTCCCCCACTTTAATTATTTCAGTTATTTATTAAATTTATATCCCACCCTTTTCCCCAAAGGAGTCCCAAGGTCACAGGACGTCTCTGCAAACACACAGCTTCAAGGAATTCATTAGCAATGGAGATTAGTTCAAGACATCAGAAAGAAGACATGAAGTATATCAGGCAGCATGCGATACCAACAAAAAGCTGAGTTCTGCTCTTTGCGTATCCCACCTAATAAAAGAATCAGCTAAAGTGTGGCAGTCTTACAAATTTGGAGCCATCTGAAAATGTCCGCAATGAAATGACTGCACCTATTCTTCAACAGATTGTAAAAATGGAAGCAAGCCAGGAAATCACATCACCTAAGTCTTCTGCATTTTTAAAAATCTACATTAGCATCTCTGCTTCAGGCCTATCTTAATTTAAAATTGTGTTTTATAGAAATCCAAGGCGGGTAGTGTTAAGGACTTTTCCATCAGCACAAGCCTTTCTGCTTGTTGGATGGAACTATCTCCCCTGTCCTTCATCTGTGTGCTGATCTGGGGGTTCTTCTCATCCCCCAAAGCCAATGGAGGGGGTGGGGTGAGGACAGGGGGAAGCCCCCCATTGAAATAGCAGGATTTGATGCATTGGCTTCTGCTAGCACAGCTATTTTGTTTAATCCAGCCTGCACAATGTGCACTTCTGGTCCACAGAATTAAGAAAAATTATAATACTGTAAATAACAAGATGAAATATAATTTTTTAATTATTATTAAAAGATGATCCAAAAAGAACTCCCTTAAGAGAATCAAGTCTTTTGTCTCAAGACAGTCTTTAAAATAATCTTTCAAAAAAAATTTTTTTTAAATAATCCCAGTAGCACCTTAAAGACCAACTAAGTATAAGCTTTCTTTATACAATTATGATGGTCACAATTCTAACATAAAGGAGACAAGGTTGATGGGAGACCTCAGAACAGAACTCATTTTGGAATATTTCAAAGGCACTTCCTTCTCAGGTTGCAGTAGTCTTACATATCACTTGGGAAAACAGGCAAAGAAATGTGTACTGGAAAAAGCAAAGACCAGTGTCGAAGCAATGATTCCACATCAAATTAGTTGAACTGGTCATTTTGTTCATATGCCTGATTATCGTCCTCCAAAGCAACTACAGTAGTACCTTGGGTTACATATGCTTCAGGTTGCAGACTCCACTAACCCAGAAATAGTACCTTGGGTTAAGAACTTTGCTTCAGGATGAGAACAGAAATCTCGCAGCGGCGCGGTGGCTGGCAGCGAGGCAGGCCCCATTAGCTAAAGTGGTGCTTCAGGTTAAGAACAGTTTCAGGTTAAGAACGGGCCTCCGGAACGAATTAAGTACGTAACCAGAGGTACCACTGTACTCCATTCCCAACGTTAGAAAGGCAAGCATGCCAGTGGGCAACAAAAGTGGTTTAAAGGTGCTTTCAAGGCAAATCTTTAAAATGTAGTATAAACACAGACAAGTGGGAATCACGGGCCTGCGATCGCTCCAGTTGGAGAACCTTGACCAAAGGCATCCTGGACTTTGAAGAAGGACGAACGCAGAAAGGGAGAAACGTGCCAAGATGAAGGCATGTTTGGCAAATCCTCACCGTGATCACGCCGGGAAACATGTGTCCCCACTATAGATGTGCAGATCCAGAATTGGCCTCCACAGTCACTTATGGACACAACTGTTAAGAACATGTTCATGGAAGACAATCTTGCTCGGCTACGAGTGATCGCCAAAGACACAAAGCACCTCACTAAACAGCATCCTGTTAAAGCCCCCTTAACAATGATCTACACCTTCTCAGTTACACATATCCATCATAACACAGCAGTTCTTGCACTTCATTCAAAGTGTGGTAAAGGGCAACTCAACTGTGTTGTAAGGACCCTCTTTTCTGAACACTTCGGAGAATGTTACAAGATGACAGGTTGAATAAGTCATTGCATGGCATTCTCTTGCAAGGTACTTATATCAACAGCTACTGCAATGTCAATGTAAAACACTCAGGAGCCAGTTTTCCACCTGCGCTGCAAATGTACTGCATGCCTTGTCTTCTACTACTGCTGTATGGCCTGGCACACCAGGGGATCAGGATAATGAAATTTGTTAGAACAGGCACCCCCAACCTGTGGCCCACCAGATGTTTTGGACTACAATTCCCATCATCCCTGACCACTGGTCCTGTTAGCTAGGGTTCATGGGAGTTGTAGGCCAAACCATCTGGAGGGAAGCAGGTTAGGGGTGCCTGTGTTAGAATAACCACGACACCGAACCATATCCCATCAATGCCAGAATGTAAGGAGCTGTCTCTCTGGCTTAACAGCAAGGAATAAATATAACACATTGTAGGCCAAGCATTAAGAATCTCTTAATTTTACTCTTCTAAAACGTTAGCAAAGAGAGCGACAGAGTTTCACTATGCTGGGAATGTTGAAACTGTGGCTCACCAGATTAGGATGGACCTCAAATCCCATCATCAGGGGCCACTGGACTGATGGGAGTTTGGGCTCAAACACACCTGGAGAGGTACAGGTTCCCCACGCCTGCTTCATGCAAGAGAGGTTTAAATACTTAATGCTCATGCCTCCTTCATGGACATTAAAATGAAGAGATAACTACCCTCCACCCTCCAAAAGGCTGCTCATCCGTAAGGTGATGTAAGGGACACACTAACCAGGAAAGCTGCACTCCTAAAGATTTTTAGCATGTTCTGGATATTTAGAACTTTGGTGACCGCAGCAGTTTAGAATCATGAAGAGAATTCAACATTTTAACGTTCTCCGTCATCATGGCTAATAAATGTATAAAAGATGGAACATTTCTTCATGCATACCACATTTAAGTCCAAAACACTCCAGATCCTTCCACCCCCCTCAACATAGCAGACCCATTCATCTATCCAGAGGTGTCACTAATCAATTTTATTTGGAAAAAAAATCAAGTTACAGAACAGTTTGTGGGAATTTTCTTCCAAAATTTCCAACGGCATTTTTTTTTTTAAATCAAGAGATACAATTGCCTTGACGTTTCAAAATAAAGATAGAAAATTAAATTAACCGCCAGCAAGTCTTAGTGGTTTATAAACTGGTAATGTGGCTGAACTCAAGCCTTTCCTTTATGGAAAGGCGGTACGAAAAGATACTTACTTATAAATGCTAAAATATTCCTCATTTGAACAAGTTCTTCCCCCACCCCACCCTCCCTTCCCTTCCCTTGTTCATGGTTAACAAATGGGAGCAGCTCAAAACTAAAATGGCAGTTAATTGCAAGTTTTGTGCATGATCCTCCAGGCTCATCGCTTTCATACGATTCAGCCTCCGCTCAACATGTTCCCAATTTTACCTCCCAAACGTAGCACTGAAAGCAACCCTTACAAAAGAGCAAGAGAACAGAGTAGAAATCAAAAGTAGAAAGTTTACAAAGAGTGATGGAAAAGGTTTTTCAGGGGGAAAACATGTGTTTATTTCCTTTTATGGACTTGAAACTTTGGTAGTAACTGCAATTTTTTTTTTTAATATTTGAAATCCAGATATATTGGTCAAGAAGGACTTTGCCTGCCAGAGAGCACAAGAGCTCCCCCTCCTAACAAGACAGGTCTTCAATTCAGCTACAGTAAGTGTCTTAGACAGGGACCTGGTTAGGAATACAATAGAAAAAAAATCCCACAATCATATACAATTCAATTGGACAATTTAAAAAGACATACTATAGAAAAGCGATTCCCACAAAGAGCTTATTCCAGGTCCAACCACTTATGTAGCATTGCATTCATTCATGTAAAAAAGATGTTTGGAGGGAATTCTTCTGAAAAATCCTACTTTATACGACTTATCAACCTGAGCAGTGGCAAGTTGAACGGAAGTATCCAAGTGTCCATGCACTGACTGAAGCAATCTGTCGGTGGAATAGGGAAGACAGGCAATTTTTGGCTATTCCCTCTTTCCATGCAGCCCCTTAAATCTGTTCCAGAAGGTTGGGGGACCTTGCAGAACAGATCTGAGAAGCACAGAGGGCTGCATGGAGACGGAAAACTGGGGGGTGGGGGGTGGAATTGCCTGCCTTCTCTATTCCACCGACAGGTTCTTCCTGTTAGCAGATGGATAACCACTGGATAACCATCTTTAGTCCACAAAAAGCAACAGACAAGTGCAGATGAATAAAATATCAAACTATCAAAAGAAAACTAGAGGGAGGAAGCTGCAGGTATCACTTTTGTCTTAAAGGATTTTGTGAGAGTTACCATATTTTTTGCACTGGGGTAATTATTATTTTTAAAAAATAAAAATAAAATCACACAAATTAAAAGAAATGTAGCATCTTTACGAAGACAATCTATCTACTCGGAGAATGATCTTTAAACCAGCTTCCTGTCAACTTTAAAAATACAAGGTTGATAGTTTAAAAAGAAACACACACACAAAAGAACCCTAAGAATGTCCTATATGGTTTAAGCCAGAAAAAAA